TAACTTTGGGTAGGTAGAATACATGAATGATTACGAATGTGCACCGACTCTACGCTGAAGACGACGACCTTCAAGTGCTTTCCCTCCAGTATGCAGACACTTCGTTCGCATTCAATATCTTCCTACCCAAAATTAGGTGAGTTTATTGTCCTATAAGCAATGGATGCGACAAGGCGTTATTAACCCTACTGAGGCAATTCGGGGACGGCAAGAGGCATTTTGCACTTTTGCTACTTCCTGGGTTTACAGGTTTTACCACGGTGGGTCAGCGAGCTCGCTCCAACTTCACAAGAGTTTCACAGGTTTCACCTGAGTTAGATATGTAAGTCGTGAAGCAGGAAAGTGCGCAAGTAAATGCTCCTCCCAACTCCGTCGCCCTTCTCATAAGCCTCTTCCAGTATTGTTCCAATACTTGTATGAAGCTCCAAGAATGGTGTTCGATGATGAGCTAGTTCCTTCCTTGAACCTCAAAATACAACCAATCAGGTGAAATGGTGTAAGATTAGAACTCAACGAAAGCACAGCTACATGCCGTGCAAAACTCAGCTTCTTTGAAGCGCTCATGCTCCGCAGCGAACAGGACACCACAGACACTACCAGAAGCTCGTGACAAATTAGTCGTAATACTGGAAGGCGTGGCGAGCGACGCCGCGCCTGGAAGACGAGTAGTCCTGCCTGGCAACTTGCCCCTTTTTAGGGAGTTCGTACGGCCCTGTGTCCGTCCTCATCGGACTCGCGCCGTCGAGCGGGGCGGGGGGGGCATACGTACGCGTGAAACAGGAAAGTCAACCGCCATCCCCACAACGCCAAAACATAAATACGACCCCCCTTCACAATGTCCATGAAGCTTTTCAGCCCAAACACGACCCCCCCCCCTATTGGATTCCCCAACAACGATGTGATCTGACTCACATCAAGATTTTGCCAAAAGCCGCAAAGTGGGCGTGTCCAAGGCGCAGAGCCTGAATTCCCTTGCATTCATGTCTACGAGTGCCTTCGTTGTGTGAAGAGGGCGTGAAAACAACGACGCCGAAAAAAGTCTGTAAGGATTTGTTGTAAACTCCACTTTTCGTAACTTCAAAAGTGGAGTTTACAACAAATCTTTACAGAGTGGGCGGACTGCCCACGTGCGATAAATAGACCTTTTCAGCTAGTGTGTATTTGCGAAATAACAAAAGTGCAAAGAAGTACAAATGCAGAAGTCATAAATAAAATTTGAAAATCACGACCACGCTGAAGTGTGGGCGTGCGTTTCGGTGCCTGCAGTAGTGTTCTAGTAGGGCACGAGTAATTAGGTCTGGGATCTGTTTTGAAAAGTCGTGAATTTGGTTTCGAAAAGTGGTGGGTTTGGTTTGAAAAGTGGTACATTTATAGTATAAAGCGACAGTCTCAATTGAGCGTTCTCGGAGCGTGTGCCTCGGTGGGAGCTGATCGGGGATTAGAGCCTCGGACCGCGATCGTGGCAGGTGCGCCATTTGCTCCTACACTAGCTCCGGCCTCTTCTCTATAGTATACCCAAGGTAATTCCAAACAAGCGGAATCAATTAATCTTTGACGTATGTTCAGATTTGGCCTTAATGAACTTCGACCGAAGCTTACCGGAGAAAAAATCCAACAGTTGCTCTCAAAACTGGAAACAACCTTCGTTTCGGTACTGCATATTTTTCCTTTGCTTTTTTCATTCCGGGTTATGTGGGAGATATGGGTGGAGGGAACGAAACGACCCAAATATCGCATAGAAACCCCTTTTTCAGATCACAATTCCCAAGATGAAAATCGAGACGGACTTCAAACTCAAAGAAGCGCTAATGGCCATGGGAGTGACTAATATGTTCTCTGACAAGGCTGATTTGACTGGAATCGCCGAGAAACCTCCACTCAAAGTTTCAGGTGCTGCTCATAGAGCCATCATTGAGGTGGGTCCATTTCTTCAGTCGAAAAAGGAAAAAGCCTTCAGTGCTCTTGCTCTTTGCTTAAAACCGACTTACAGGTAGATGAAGAGGGAACAACCGCGGCGGCTGCTACGCTCTTTAAAGTTACTCCAAAGTCAGGCTTCCTGAAATTACCGCTGAAATTCCGAGCTGATCATCCGTTTTTGTTCATACTTACCAAGGATAAAAATCCTTTGTTCATGGGTCAATTTGTGTGAACAGCTGAACTTACTGTGTTTAATGAATGGTTTATTGGAACTGCGAGCAATCACTGATAATCACTATGCGCAGGTTTCCGCTCGGTGGATGCACCAAACGGTGCTCTGAATCTCTGCGGGTGGTCTTATAGAATCCTGTAAAACATTGCTATGGAAGTGGCTCAATTGTACTATATTGTAGCTTCACAAAATTTCACAGGTCTTACCAAAATGAGAACTGTTACATAACATGAAGCGGCTAAGGGAGCTAGCAAAAGTGCAAAATGCCCCTTGCAAGCCGAACAGTGCCCACTGACTATTAATTATAGGATTTGGGACGTACAATGTACACCATCGTCGGGGGGGGAACCCCACTGGGGAGGAGAGAGCACTATGTGATCGCCAAAGAAAGGGGTCGTAAGCTCAGAGCGGGTGAGCATTGAACAGCGTAATTAACTGAGGGGCGTTGCACCACCACTGCCATTGCTTCACTGGAGTCTGCTGTTAATCAGGGCACGCCCACCCCCCCCCCCGTTGGGGAAAATTTGCTATGGCACCTTGCTCTAAAATTGTCGCCGCCTGGTACGACTCCCCCCCCCACCTAACATCTTCCTGAAGTTTTCCAACTTATTCCCTTTTGCAGTATTTCTTCCTTTGAAAAGTCTCCACTTTTTCCTCAGAGAACTGTCGTCCACGAGTGGGAGTAGAGTGCACGTAAAACACGAGAAATGGGAAAAATTCAACGACCGAGTAAGTTTCACACGAGAGCGGTTAATACACGTCCCCCTCCATAAACCAGATCCGCTCCCTCCCCCCTTGATGGGAATGCTCAAGGCACGACGTGCCTTGCTCAATGAAGACTGCTGTTCATGTAATCATAACTAGGAACACATCATCTCCCGCGACCTTACCATGTTGTTGAGGTGCCGCCGACCTCGAATATCTCCGCGATTCTTTTTCGTTGTAGAAGTAAGACTGCGTGGCTAACACTCAGACAAGATCAATCGATACTAAGCTAATTACCGTACAGCACTGTTCGGCCGATATTGCATGTAAGACCGCTGTTCTTGCCTCGTGGGAGACTGCTGCTGATCAAGAGACAAGCTGCTTTCCTGGAAATATACTGCGAAATACGATATTCTTTGAAGTTTGGTCTGGTATGACCTCCTGATCCCACATCCTACCTACCGTCTCCCTAGCTTTTTCCAACTTTCTACCACTTTTCCATTTCTTTTAGAAAAATCATCCTTCCTTCTCAAAAACGACTAGGGTCGACATAGCGCATGTAAAAGAGGGAAAACAAGTAGAGTAACGAGCAGGAACTATTTTCTTTCTAGGTGGAGAATACGGCCCCCTCCCTCCGGCGACCGAAACGCCTCCCGTGCTCAGCTGCCAATGTCTGCTGGGAACACATCATCCCCACGACCACTTCATTTTGTGGAGGTGAAGCCGGCCTTGGAACCTTTCTGCGATCTTGATAGAAGTCGAGTCCCAGTCAAGATCAGGCAATAATAAGCATATCCATTTCCCAGCCAGCCAGCTTGGAGATGCATTTCAACAGCGGTTATGTCAACATTTGAAATTAACTTCGATAGGGAACGAGCTTTCGTTTCGTGTCGTGTGAGATTCTCGGCTAATGTCCAATCGCGTTACTCGAGCTGCAAGTGTTGCTCAAGCGCTGTGCCTAGTAGCATGAGATATTATTGCGCTGTGAAACACTAGCTAAATACGAGCCAATCCAGAATGTTCTCCATTGATGCGATCCTCTATCATGGAATACCTACCATCACGTGAACTTACCATATTTTTTCAGAACATTTTGCCGCAAAACTGACACCGAGTACAAAAACTTGTTAGCTGTCGTGGAACGGAAAAAGTCGAAAAATGAGCCACCAAGAACTCTTACATGAGCTTCTCTCCTCTCTTATTTCTGAAGAGGTCGATTGTGTAGAAACGTCTGGCACAAAAAGCTACAAAAACCTTGGAAACGGCACAATACCATCTGACAAGGAACCCCAACAGGTCGATCCGGCCATTTGCAATGAGATGTATATATATGGACGTGTCTTGAGCCGCTGAATCCAAATCTGCCCTCGGAATTTGCGGAACGATTCTCTGAAGGGAGTTACGGACCATTTTTCTCTGCTCTGTTCGCACAAGTTGGGAACGATAACTACGTGCGGCGAGCGGCTGATGGTGTAGTGGATGAGCGCACTACTTCACATGTTGGAATCCTTGACTCTTGAAAAATTTTTGCTTTCGTTCAAAGCACTTCATATGAGTCCCAAAAACACTTCTGTTTGGCCAATTTTCCTTGTTCTTCAACTATTTGGCAACAGGAAGCGGTTATTTCTCCACTTCTGGTTCCCTTTGAGAACCTTTATTATAGGTATATCCGTTTCTAGAGCTTGTAAGAAATGAGGACCTCACGGTTCATGAGCACATGTGGTATTCTTTCACGAAGTGATAGAAACAATACAAGTTCTCGCAATGAGCACAGCGAATGAAGAAGTACTCTGCACACACGGTACAGTTACAGTTCTCCACCAGTCCAGAGGAAAAGCAGTGCTGGAGAGGTGTTTCGAATTGTCATCTGAAAGCTACAAGTGGTATTTCTCGAACAACTGAAGACTCTGGGAAGGCGTAGTACAATTATGGAACGATAAAGAAGCTCTTTACAATGCTGCTTTCTGCTCCTCGGATGCCCCGCCTACCAGAGCTCATGAGCTCTTTTCTGTTGAGAGTCCGGTTTTTGCATTGTGTTATTTGTCGTGACCGGGGTGCAAGACCGAAGAAAGCATCTGTGGTTTCCCTACCCGGTCACGCAGAAGGTGGGTATTAGGAGGGCCTACACCCTCTGAAGGGTTGTGTTGCGCGATGCGAATGTTCAAGGGGTGAATGCTTGCGACCCGCCACGAGCGTATGAGGCCTGGCCCTCAGTGCCTATTGTATGACTATGTTTGCGGGATAGACAAGAAAGCTGATGATGTGACCAGTCGTCGTGTCCATTGGAACATGACAGGGTAACTATCGACTAACGATTTATGTAAACTACACTAGTATTGAGATGATTACGAAATAAATCAATACATATATAATACTGTTACAACACTACGAAGGCCATGAGAGCAAGATAAGGAGAGCTAAGGCATGGCTAACAGACAGCACAACTAACCGGGCAGGATATGCGACGTGGTAGCGTGTCGGTCCATTTGGCCGCTGATGAGACGACGAAGGACTCAGCAGGATGACATAGTGACGACTGCTGGGCGCGCGGGCTCAGAGCAGAGATGCGGAGCACTTCCCGCGCTTCCAGCTTCTTCCATCGTTTGAACTGACGACTGCGTCGTTTGAACTGACGGCTACAATAAGATGACGAGTGGGACGCATACCACAGACGCTTCCATGTCGAATGCAAGTCACGACGTTAACTGCTTCTTTTTCGCTGTTGAATGGTTTTAACATTGAACGACGAGAAGAATTGATTGGCCAATCGTAAAGCAAGATATCGCCCTGGTGCCATTAAATGAGCAAGTCCGAAGAACTCGTCCAGAGGCTGTCAGGGTCCCTAGAGTTCTGGGAATTATTTCTTTGTCGCCTTCTTGAAGAGTCACTAAATGATTATAAGTTGATGCACATCGATGATTCGCCACACGCTGCGCTGCCCACCATACTCGAAGGCTATTTCTGTAGCAAGTTCAGTTTCGAAACCGCTTTCCTGTCCTCTTCTTACTGTTACACACTATTGGCATTCGATAACGCGAAGAAGTGATCAGTGAGCCAAAGCGGCAAGATATCTCTTTCCTGGCGTAGCGAGCACGCCCGCAAAAACTTGTACAGTGAGGCTACCAGCTGGGTGTTTTCCATTTTTTAAATTTTTTTTGCCGTCATAGGTTCGTTATTGAACTAATCACAACATGCAAACGCGGGTCTTGTGATCGAGTACCAGCGAGTACCATGTTTCAAAACTCAGAACTCAGTTCGGCGATGGGGAGGGGGAGGGCATCTTGCACGTTCGCTTCTTCACTAGCTTCACAAGCGTTTACAAGACTCACTCTGGTGAAGTCTCCCCCCCCCCCCTCCCTGCATCCCCGTAGCCGATCTGCGCCAACCCTTGTTCTTACCTAAAGCACCGATTAGTCATGCGTTGCACTAACAATCAGCTTTTTCGATTCGACACTCCGTCATAAATTTGGCCGTTTGCCATTGCCACCGGGCGCTGCAGAATACGAAGCAAGTGCCCTGGCGACCAGGTCGTGCGACAGTTCCGTAGCGACCAATTGCCGCATCGTTTTGTTGCGCGCGACGTATGGTTGTCGTATGTCACTAGTGCATATCGCGACTCTGTCGCAATTCGTATCGCGCCCCAAGCTATTAGGCACAAACTTATGGTGCGTGTTCGGGGTGAATATTAGTCAGCCCGTCAGGCATGAATTTATGACTGCTTTTCCATCGATCTTGTCATAGTTTCACCTATATAGGTGCTAACAATAAACCAGAGGATACGTCTTCACTTCGCTGGCTTTTTAGGCGAGCTTTTGACGCTGTTGTTTTACTTGTTGTTGCATTTGTACAGCGTTGCTACACCACGTAGAAGAACTCGCCATTATTTGACCCCCATCGGAAACCTGGAAGCCAGATCCGGTGCAGCTTGTCCATATAGATCATTTCCTGGCGCTGTTCGGCTTAGGCGTGTGAAGGGCATCATGCACCTTCATTGGCTCTTCGCTTGTTCATATTAACCGACACTTTTCATTTTGGTAGGACCAGTAAATTCTTGTAGAGCGCAAAGTGGTTCGGATGGGTTTAATCACAGGAATTTATAAGTTTTTATCAGATAGTCTGCCAAGTTCGATACCACTTGGGTTCAAGCTCGATACCACTTGGGTCCACAGGCCCAAGCCCAACGGCGCCCCATTTCCTCAGCCAAGTTGTTTACAGTACCTTTTACAGCAACACAGCAAATCTGCTTGAGGCGATCTAAAGCTTGACCCGACCATAGGTATTTCGTGTATCCATTT